CATTATTTTCTCTTCACGTGGTATTCATTTTAGTTGTTACTGCTGTTAAGTGATGAGGTTTCTGTTATTTGGTACAGTTCTTTTTTGTAATTCAGTCCATGGGGATAGACTGGAATCATATCATAACTTGAAAACCACCCGTTTCTCCAGTGGCTGTTATTACTCCTTCCAGTATGGATGGGAATTTCCTTCCTAACCTTATGTTTGAATTAGTGTGGAATGTCAACATCTTGATTATGTCATTATTTTCTCTTCGAGTTACAAATAATATTCATTTTAGTTGTTGAAAATTCCTCAAGTGACATGTTTTCTCTTATTTACTACAGTTCTTTGTGATTCTGTAGCACCAGTCTACAACATTTGAAGAAATGTGGTCTTCAAGACAGATAAGCTTCACTTACTCAAAGCCATTTTAAACCATTGATCTGAGAAAGCAGTTGTATATAGTTAATTGTTTAAATACTTCTGTATGGGTTTGGTAACATGCATGGTATCCATATAAAAATTTCCATCTGACAAGGCTATTTAAGAACATGACTTATATTTTCAGGTTGTTTTGATTTTGTATGGCTCTCCACAACTTCCTATCTTTAATGACTCTCAGTAAAGTTTATCTTTTTGCTATCTCCCCTAATCCCTGTTCTGCCAACCAATTTACACAAGTTCGTTAGATAATGCCAAAGATAACTAACATATTGAATACTGAATCCCAAGAGAGTTACTAGGAGTTGTAAATGACAAGCCCATGTCGACAAGTTTGATTTTATTCATAAAACATTATCTATTTATAGTTGTCACAAGAATTAAGGAAATACACTAACTCTTAATGGCACACATTTACAGTTAATTTACTGTAGAGGAAGGTACATGATGCCTTGCAAAACTCTGAAATCATTTAAATACAGATACAATTATGTTTATTAACCCTTTAACATTAAACACACCCAAACCTGCCCCGTAAATATTGGCTCTCAACCCACTCTTCCCTACTGTATGACAACATAATCACAGATAATACGGGAAGTCATGCAAATAGTGAGACTTTGGCCACAAACAGTGGAACTTTGTGAGAGGGTGTGTTTGAGTAATGATGAATGATAAAGGGCTCAAGAAAATCAGTTCTTACTTTGAAAATATACACATACACATATATATATATATATAATATAATAACAATTCATCAGACCTACAAATTCAAAAAGGAATCGGAAAATATATATCCGGAGTTATATTTTCCAATTTCTTTTTGAATTTGTAGATCTGATAAATTGGATCGTGATTACGATTCCAATGTAATAAATTATAACCATGGAATATTAGTGTTTGAGCCTTTTAAATTATATTCTTGCTCTGTCCTGAACATTCTATACTCTTGGAAATATATATATATATATATATATATATACACACACACATATATATATATGTGTGTGTGTGTGTGTGTGTGTATATAGTTTCTTCTATACTGATTGACCAAGATTTTGTTTTTATAATTTTTCCGAGTCACTAATAAACTTGATAAACAATCCTTTCTTTTTTCCCAAGTAATCATGGTAACTCATAATTAATAAAAACAAAGAATTTGTGAAGAGCCATGATTGCCTATACCCCGAACAGACATGGTATTAGAAAAAAAAGCAAGATTATTTCATCAGCTTCAAGTGATATTTGATGATATTTCCATTTTTTCTATTTATTTTTTTATTTTATGATTTATAAATTGCTATCAATATGAACAACTTTTAGACTAACATTTCTAGTCATGAAATTATAGCATCATAGTTTTAGAAATTCTTAGATGAAGTATTGTCAATTATTTTTTCAATCTTTTCATCCCAAGCAAGGTGATAATGCCACTAAGACACAAAGGGTTACTGTGAGTAGAAGCAAAATAGAAGTCTTTAGTTATGAGAAAAGACAATAAAAGAACAGGTTCAGTAAGACAGAAGATAGTGACTGACATTGCATTTAAATTTTTGATGAGTGCAAGAAATCAGAAAAGAATTCTACAGGTGAGAAGTGCAAGAAAAGAAACTATTAGAATAGAACTTATGGTTACATTTAGTTACTTTGACAGTAAAATGATGTGACCTAGTCACCAATTGAGTTGTATACCTAAATTCAAACAGTTGAGGTACCAAGGAGGATAGCATATTAGAATAACTGCTATGAAAATACCTGTCTATATTTCTGAGATGAGGTATTATGTACACTATTTACATTATTCGAACTATTGTCCTCATCTTTGTTGGCATATTTATCACAACGTTTCAGTGAAATAAAGGGTTTAGTTCAACATTCCAACCACCTGAAGAAGGCCGGAGCGTACAACGGCTGAAATGTTGTGATAAATATGGCAACAAAGATGAGGACAATAGTCTGAAAAATGTAAATAGTGCTATGTAAATGTTTATAGAAAAGACAGAGGGAAGCCATGTCATAGTGGTGGGAGGATGACTGAAGCCGAGGTGACAATAACATTGCAGACTCTTCTTTGGACTTTGTCAAGAATCATGAAAGATAGAGTAGGATCACCAAACCAGATATGGCAGCAATATTCGACACATGGACAAATGGTAGATTTATAAATGTGCAAGACGGATTCTGGTGAGAAATATTTTTTGGCATGCTCAGTGAACCAACTTTCTTACCAGTAGTTCTAGCAATGATTCAATACTCCACTTCATGTCAGTAGAAAAATGAGTTGCAAACCTGGAGGTTAGCATCAGCCATGATGATGGCGGATAAAAAGGTTCTCTAAGATGATTAAATGATAGCAATTATTACCTATTTTTGACTAATATATTCTTCTCATTTCTGTCTGCTTTAAACAGCAACTCATAGCTTGTTATTATATGACTTAAGCCTGGATCAACAGAGAATATAGAAATTACCAATTACTAATTAACATATGTTCTATCTCTTTTCTGTTGCTTTTTATTGAAACACACATTATTTAAAGTAAACAGCATGAATTGGATAGCATATAAACTGTGTGGCTTATCTATTCAGTAGGGCAATATGTAGTGGAAACGAAATGCAGACAGAGCAGCCAATCGCTACTGATAATAGTACTCGTCCACATCAGTCAAAGAGACAATGTTTAGTATGCAAACTCTGCAAAAAGACAGCACATGGAACCCTGCCAGAACAGAGCTGATGCAAACCCCAAAACATCTGGTTATGAAGAAAGAAATTGTTTACCAGCTTCCCCATGAGATACTGAGGACAGTGAGCTGAGTGGTGTTAGCTATATAAATAATTCCTTTGTTAGCAAACCACCATGTGGCTTTGGGGTGAATCCAAATCTTCTGGAAGGCAAGTGAATGGAAGGAGTGAGACCCCAGGATTATTCATATAAGCAGAGTGAGGCAGGAAGTCTGGAAAGTGGGTCCAGCCAGGAGAGAAGTAGGTAGGCGACCAGAGGAGTTGGAGCTGCCCAGCGGCCAGTGACAGAAGAACCAGCAGTGAGGAATCAGAAGTCGCCAAGGCTAATGAAGTTAGGAAGAGAGCAGCCCACCTCTTGAAGCTGAAGGAAGGATCCTATATTTAAGTGAGAAATTATATTGTTGCTACTTCCCAACCAGAGAGTCTTGAAAAACAATTGTCTTCATTTGTTTTTGTTGAAAGCCGAGAAGACAAACCTATGTACATAGTGAGTTGGGTGTATATGCAAATACACTCAACCTTGGATGTCATTACAGGTGTAGTGAGCAATGAACGTTTGGAGAACATTGTCACAAGACTCGTCACAATTTTGCCACAAATATGCATCAAAATAGTATTTTCTTTTTTGAGATTTAGCATGCGAAACACAAATTAACAGATTTGGGGAAAAAAAAAACACCCCAGAATGATGTCAAAATTTGCAAAAAATTTTCATTCTTTAACAGTTAATCATGTTTAGTTTAATTTGCAATGTATATAAATGTAGGTAGAAAAGAATAAAAGATAGCGAGGTCCACATAGCACTGCCTGGGGCCTCCAATCAGGCTTCCTCCCCATTAGTCAGGGGGTTTTCAGGTGGTTGTACATGCCAAATGTTCAAATTATTGTACCAGGATTGAGATCCAATATGGCAGTTAAGAAAAGTTACAGTAAAAACAATGTGGAAATTAAATGCAGGCAGGCATGATGGACTACAGAGACTTCAAAACATCAACAAGAATCTAAAAGTTAATAGTAAAGAGAAAAAGTTAATTGATTTTAATTGAGAAAAAACAAAACTTCCTGTAGTTTACTGTAACACAACACCCACCTTATCAGGTAAATTTACTATGAATTAACTCATTAAAAAGAGAAAAACTTGACACACATTATATATGTTCTACTTAAAAAAAAAAGTGCACTGCTTCCTGGGATTTATTGCAGGAAATCAACAGTTAATTGTCAGGGGGAAAATCTGAATACCATACCAGTATAAAACCAAACTTTGGTATTGAAAAAAATGAAAGATTACTATATAGCCATTAGGATGACCATGTAAAGTAACAGATATATTTGGGGGGAAAAAAAGGTTAATGTGTAAATGGCAAGCTGAGTTCAAATTTCTAATGAGTGCTGCATTTACTTTGCACTATGGGAAAAGCATGAATCCAGTCGTGGTGGTGGTGGTGGTGGTGGTGGTGGTAGGCATCTGTTTATCTTGCGAGATAAAGGTAACACACTGTTTTATCAAAATTCAGTCCTTTGGCGGTGAGACTGGCCTTACCCCTCCAGGGTGGAGGAATGTGGAGGCTATCCAAGGACGATATGACATCCCGCACCTCTCAGACATACCAACAAGAGCCAAAAGAAACAGAGAATTAAATTTGGAGGTGACTTGGCTCCAGGAATTACTGGAAGGTTGTCAGTGCTGACAGACAACCACCTACAGGATTCCACTCTGTTTTTTCTGTTTGGATCTACTTCCAAGGTTTTGCCATGATTTTGGATATGGCTGATAAGCACTTCTTTTTATATTATATATATATATATATATATATATATATATATAGAAC